TCCTATATTCTCGTATCACACCGTCACTGTTACTATTTTACCGTGTAGTGTGGTGTGCTCCTTTGAGCGGCATTCATGAAAGCCCTTCACACCTACGCTGTCATTCTCACCCCCTTCACCCTTGTGCTGGGAATGTTAATGAGAGTCTGCCAAATTGTTACGCAGTCCTCTTTCCATAGGTCTTATCACAGTCTCTCTCTTGCGCCGAAAGATCCGTCTGCTCTCTTCCTGGTCTACATATTTCACTCGACCGCTGCCGCCCCATCTGTGCTGCTCGAGGCGTTATTCGCCCTACCCTGCTTCTGGGTGACTAATTAGAGGTTAAAGACTCTGAGAAAGTCTCATTGTCACACCTTTGCCACATGGACCACGTCTATGGTAAAATAGACCGACTGTCAACTAATTAGCTCCTGTTTCCGCCACGTCTATCCTGTTTCTATCCCTAATACCAAGAATACGACAATCCACAAATGTTGTGGTACTGCTTGCCTTGATTAAGCTCAATGTTGAACCACAATGGTTGTGGGTTGGCACATAAGAGACTAGGCCATAACAAGTCATAGAATTGGTATTATAGATAGAAAGAGGATAGAAACAGTGGAAGCTAGAGCTAGTTGGTTAACAATAGTCGTGATTCAAGGATCATTTTTATGATCAAACACGACTATTGTTAGCCAAATAGCTTTAGTCTTTCCTGTTTCAATCTGTAATAGCATGTTCATAGCTTCCTACGTCCTAGTCTCTTGCGTGCCAACCCACAAATGTTGTGGTTATACTTATTTTTATCAGGAACACTGAAGACGTCTCCCTTTTGCTTTTGATTTTTGCTTTCTTATCCCCCTGCGATCTCTTTTTCCTGTGATCTATTTTCCTAAAATTAAGGATATTACTTTGATCCAATCGTCTTCTTTTTGCTGATCTTACTGTTGCCTGGTCTTCTCCGAGTTTGTTTAGGCAATATGCAAAGTTTTCGCTGATCTTGCCCTCTCAAAGTCTCCTGCTCGTTAGATTTCTCTCAATCACTATTTCGATGGCCTCTCGGATTTTGCGTTTTCTCGTATTTTCACCATATCCAGTCAATCCTTCGGTCGATTTCCAGTCAATTTCGTGTCCCGTTCTTGCAGGGTGTTCCGCTATTTCAGATCTTTTCGCATCCATGTTCATACAGAGTCTTTGCTGTTGATTGATACGTAGGCCGATTTTTATTCCTGGTTCACTGATAGACTTCTGATTACAGTTGCCGCATTTGATGAGATAAACTCAAGAGCAATAAAGTTTGTCCGTCTTCTCGTTTTGCGTCGGCAGACTGGTGAAAAGTGTTTTCTTCTCTTTTGTTATCACCTTGCTATTCCATTTCCTTAGCAACGGTCGCAATTGTTGGCTCAGTTCTGATGAGGACAGGCAAATCCACTTTTGGTTGCCATTCTGATTCCGGATCTGATTTTCATAAAATCCAAGTTGAAATCGGTCCTATATAATCTCTACATTTTTTTCTATAAATTCTCTGGGGTATCCGTTACTAAACCAATCCTTTTCAGTTTTTATAACTCCTCGTCCCAGAACTCATTGTCCGTTAGTCGTAAGTTTCTAATGATCAAACTCCTCACTTTCCTATCCCCAGTCTTTAGTTATGGTGAGGCTGAAAATTAAGGATTATTCCCGCATTTGAATTCTTTTTGTATAGTCTCCTCATGAGTGTCCTTTTGGAGCGCATGACTTCAATATCCAAAAAGGGTAGTCGTTCATCCTCCTCCACCTCCATTGTGAATTTAATTCTTTCATCAAGTTCGTTAATGAAATTGAAGAATTCATTTAGATTTTCATGTGACCTAAGTGCAATGTAATCATCCACGTATCGCATAAGCCCTCTTAGTTGCAGTGGAGACTTCTATAATTCCCTTTCCAACTTGTCCATGTACACATTTGCCAAAAGAGGTGAAAGTGGAGATCCCATCGGTAGTCCAAATATTTGCTTATATATATTGCCGTTTAATGTAAAATATGTGGTCCTTACTGTCAGGTTGATTGGTCGTGTTAACGATTCCTACCAATATAACCAAGTTGCGAAAACAAGGTCAAACAACTTCTATACAACGAAAGGAGACTGCGAC